GATCGAGAAGTCCTCGTGATGTTTCCGAGCAATCTCGGTCCAGAAGCCGATTTGTCTACCTCGTCCGCGTTCGTTCGGGCGGCGTTCTCGTCGAGGAGACGGACGAACTTGGCATGGATACCAACCGAGCCAGCGACAACGGTCATAGAATTCTGCGTCAACGTTCCAGTCTTATCCGTGCAAATGACCGAGCATTGCCATGGTTTCACATGATCCAAGGATACGAACAAGGAGGTTCTCGTACGTCATCCGTTTCGTCGCAAAAGCCAAGCCAGTGTAACCGCCAGCGGCAGACCTATCAACAACATCTCATTAGCAACGAAAAGGGGCTGCATTTTTTTTCTCTTAAACACACCTTCAGGCACAGCGACGACAATTAAGTTACGGAAATAATAAGAATATTCACAAACGCGATACCGTTCTCATTTGGGTTACTATGGCAGAGAAAAATATTAGCGCCATTCAGGACCGTAGCAAAATCAACATACCGTGGGGTTCACCTTTGCCAAGTTGGACGAAAAACCTGATCATTAAGGCAGTGAACAACGCAGACCAGCCACGAACCAATTTTGGCTATGAGCTCGCAAGTCCATTGAGCTTGAGCTGGAGCGGGGTATTCTCGATATCACCTCGAAGGCCTAGGCGCGTCAAAATTGATCAGTCATGCAACAAGAAAGAAGGAACGATGTAAACGTACCCATCATGATACGACCGTTGTAGCTCTTCGTGCCGACAGCGACGACAACATATCTACCAACACCTTCGAGAATTTTACTGCCAGAGATGACAAAGCAGTCAGAGTGTATAGAGTTTGGGTCTTTCCTTCGCTAGCTGCCTTGCGACGGAGGTCGAGGTAGTCTTCATATTCCACTTTCTTCATGGCGTCAGATTCACCGGTGGCAGCGGATTCATCGCACTTGACGTTGTGGCCGGATAGGAAGATACCATCACATGGAACGACTTCACCAGGTCCAGGAGGGCAATGTCACCAACGACGACTTCCTATATTGGGTTGATGCTGAGAAAGGTGCCTAAAACGAGAAAATCAGGCACGAGCACGAACCTTGATATCGATCAGTTTCTCGACGCCGTCGCGGATAACCTTGACACCACGTTCTTCCTTCGCTCGTTCAAAGCTTTGAACTGCCGTTCCTTCTGCCAGTCATTTATTGAACCGACGATGACCTAATATCAGACGAAGGATGAGCCATCTATGGTGTCGAGAACCAGGGAAAAAGAGATACTCACAACAATGCCAATGGCGATCATAATAGCAACCCTTCAACCCAGTCTACGGGTGGCTCGCCAGCCGGGCGGGGCGTACCAAAGTCTTGGAAGAATCCCAGAGCAAGAGAAATAACTGCAGCAATTGAAAGTAAAATCTGAGGAAACAAGTAAGAAACACGAGATAATCAAGTCGATGAAAAAATCAATGTACCAAAACTTTATCCTTCAGCGCAAGCCACATGAGCTGTAACAAGGTTTTGCTGATGCGCACAGGCAGAACGTTCTCGCCGAAAACGCGTCTGCGGTCTTCTATTGTCGCTTTAAACGCGGCACCATCGTCGCTGGCAGTAGGCGACGCGACTTGGCCTCCTGGCTCTGTCAACACGATCTCTGGCAAGTTGTGGTGCTCGTCTCCCTTTAGCGTTTCTGAGTCGTGACGATGGGATGCACCAAGACCGGCACCAGGTTTCTTCGACGCGGCCGACTTTGTGGAGAGACCGTGTGCTGGATTCACGCCTAATCCACGTATCAGTCCTTCGACACCGCCAAGGGATATCAGCGTGTTGGCGTTCTTGGGATCGAGCATGTGAGCCAGTTGGTATGGCTTAAAATGGAAAGGTGTCGGGTCGATAGCTTCGTCCTGGGCAAGCTCTATCTCGTGAACCGTCTGTTGAGGCCCTTCCTCCTCGCCCTTCTTCCCTTTCTTCTTCTTTTTCGTATCTTTATCTCTCTCCCCTTGTCGCTACCGCTAGTCGCGTCGAACGACTTTTCCCACTAAAGGAAGGCGAATGATAGTCAACATTTGTGAAAGAAGAAGTCGCGGTTGATGGAACATGCCGCAGTTCAGTAGAGTCTACGTCGGTCATCGAGGTCGCATTACTGGCTTTACGGTGATGTGTGTTGGGAGTCAAAAGATTGAGGGAAGTCAGACCAGATGTCTCCTCTGGATTGTTATTCCGTAATTGGACCGTGGTTGGATACTGCACCGAGTGATTTGATAAAGTGGGGGATGGAGGAATGGAACTAGTATCCGAATGGGTGGGAGATGGGGGGCCATATGAGTTTGCTGTTGGCGACAGCAGGCCTCCAGACTGCAGAGGGGAATGCACGTGCTCATTAGACTGGTCTGGGGTGGGGGCGAGGTCGGTGGTTATGCTGATGGAAGGGATGGTGTCGTCCCCGGCAGCCATGATAAAATGCGGGACAGACACGGGCTGTTAGAACCAGAAACACAGTATTGGGTCGTGTATTATATGTGTGAACCTTCGCCAAGACTTTGGGTTCGAGGCTGTGCGCGTAGCCTTGTGGTGCCGGATCGGCGATTCAACCAAACCTAAGGTTTGGTTGGTTCGTTTCCACCGGTTGGAAACAGTCGGCGGCTAAATATGCAGCCAGGCTATCACGGACAATAGGCGCTCTCGAAATCCCGACGCTGTGAGGCGGTTGCACCAATGCAAGTCAAGGCGTCGGGATGATGGTTGAATGTTGAACGCTGAACGCTCCAAAAAGGGAATTCGCCGTGACGCGTGACAGGGCCATGTCAATGTTCAACGTGCGACAATTCGACTTTCTTGGTCAAGCCTCTTGCTTCGTGCCTCACTGTGACCATTTGGTAGTAAGACGACCCCCTCCAGAACAGAAGTCGGATATCTGGATGTGACTCACCTTCTGATACCATCTACTTTCAAGATAGTGCGCCGATTTTTCTTTTGCGTCGCAGTGCCGAATAACAGGCTTGTGCCCAAGCCCAAGTCTCACTTCCATGACTTAAACTCGTCCATTCCACATAGCCTATGTCCGACAATCGTTCATTCAGCATATTACTCGCAGCATGCCTTCATATCATGCACCGCCTCCAGCACTGACGTTTTCTTCGGCAATGAACATAGGACGACCTCTTATTCCGGCCTTAGAGTATACCGAAGACCGAATACTTACAAAGTTCTGGGAAACCTTCATCTACCTATGACGAATAGTCACTAATCCGCATCTAATTCGATCTCTAATATCCAGCAGGCTTGGTATGACGAGCATTTCATACCGAGGACCTCTTTTAGACGGGTCCGCGGTTCGTAAGTATGTTATGCATTACTTCAGGCTCGTCGTATCTGGCCTACCAATAATGCAGGGTGCACTTTTACAGGCCACCCTGCCCCAATATGATCCGTCACCACACATCTAGTGCAAGGCATTAAACATGCGTCGCTGCCTCGCATAGACGATATTAAGGCAAGTGACGTACAATTGTCCCGAAACATATTATGTTTTCTTATTTTACCTCTCTCCCGGTTTTTCGGTTGTCATTGCCAGCGCGCGGCATACACGCGGCGCGCCCTATACCACTGGATCGCAGCACTAGTTTGACTTCCGCTATCCGCTTTGGCGGACATCCCTAGCGACTGTGGTGTGCAATCTGCCATCCGCCAAAGATCTACTGCTGTTTTAAAACATCTAAATTGGGGTATTTACAGCGTTTATGAAGCGAGTCAAACCTGTTAATAATCCACAGGCTCACCCTTCGGCCTCTCCTCGGTATTCAGCCGAGTGCCATGACAAATTCATCCGAGTCCCGAAGGTTGTCCTTAGCAAAAGTTTACATGTCTTATCTGGCTCTTGGGTTCTCAAGATCGAAGAAAAGCGGATGTTGACAAGGCTGTGCGTAGAATACGTACAGTACTCACCCCAGTTTTTCCACACATCCGTTTCCATTGGGGCCGTCCCGGCCAAGCTCAAGCCCAAATACACTATGTAGGACACCAAGCAAATGAGGGGCGCAGTTAGGAGTTGCATCCGTACATCGCCCTCGCGAATATGTACCAATCCTCCACGACGGAGCGGTGTAGCCGCCTTCGAATCTCAGGCCCAGCACTTTCTCTTAAAATTTTACTGCGCATGCACGTCCTAAAAAAATCTACATGCGCTGCTCCGGAATCCTCATCCTCTCAATTGGGCGACCACCTCAGAGCGATTCAGAACTTCTGTGGGATGATCCTTGTTGCCTTACTTATCACCAACAAGCACTGTCAGGCTCGTTCCGCGAATCTTCGAAAGCCATGCGCATGATCGCACCTCGTACATATGTGACACACCTCCACTGGAAAATGCGACGTGTATTCTATATGAAGGCGTTCACACAATCGCAGCGCTAATTTTAAACGGGATTCTCATAATCATGAGCCCTCGAGGCGGGTCTTTTCGGTAGTCAGGAAACACACTGGTCAGTGGTCGGCGTGCACAGAAAATCAAAGCAAGCCGACCATCGTGGGCTTCAGCCTATATAAACCGTGGCGCATTTCCAAACTGTTCACCCGTTTCGACCATTCGGGCCTCAAGATCTTGGATAACTTGTAGGCAATCAAAGCGGGACTTATGTATGCGCCCGTTTTCGTACATTGGGTTTATCCTGGTTCATCCATTGCCACGGTGTATACGTAGCCAGGATGTCATTCCAGATGACAGGAGCATTGATTAGTGGAGGCGTAGACATCTTCTGGGCGATGCCAGTCGCACCAACGCTTCTGAGACGGCTTGGTCACTTGGCGTCATATGCACCGATATGCATACATACACCCTTCCGAAACGATGAGATGAAAACTGACATAAACCGTATATTTGATTGGAGATGTGTATAGAGAGGATTTGACTTGAATTTGAACTTAATCGAAAGACAGCTGGACCAAGCTGGACGGAGAACGCTTGTACATACACCTGTTGTAAATTCCCAATTAACCCCTTCTCACAATGCCATAATTCAAATTTCCATCACAACAGTTGGTGGGTTGGCGTAATGGCAACGCGTTAGTTTCCGGTCGTAATTGATACTGACCAGCTAAAGATTCTGGGTTCGAGTCCCAGGCCCGTCGTTTTCGGTGTTTAAATGCTTTTTTAATACACTACCGGTCTATGAGGGAGAACAAAACATATCCCAAAGTTGATGCTGTGTTTCTCCATGCGCCTTTCGCTTCTACACCGAGTTTACAATTGCCGACTCGGACCTTGGCTTTTTTTTTTGAGGTCCGCGCATATGGTATTCATCTACAACTCTACGCCGCCCTTGTCATTATTCGTCTCTGTTGAGCAGTTTAAACCGATCCTTAGTGCACTTTTCTGTGCATTCTACCCTACACCCAGCCCAGCTGAAAATCCATCTCCCCTCCGACTTTCAGGTATCGTAAACGGCCGCCACTGGACGCCACAATCTCGCCGATTTGGGCGTACTAAGCTGAACATGTGCAGTTCCTCCCAGCAAATTTCTATAGCACAGCCTGGTGGAACATCTTGGCTCCTTTTGTACGAGGCTTCGCTTTACTAGTTTTGACCAAAATCTCTCATCGATTAGGACGGATTCTGTTTATTTAGCTGACTACATATTGAGAAGGTTTGGGTGGTGATGGATCTACGGATAGATGGATCCGTACCACTCACTGTATGGTAACTGACCCAGGTGCATGTCCGAATTTTGCGGGTACTCGATGACCGCATTAAACCTCATGTTCGAACTTTCGCGGGAGGGGTGGGGAAGACGTTGACCGTGTTTTTAACCAATTGGGAATATCCTGGCTAAATTGAGTCAACGAGCGCCTATTATGCGAATCCTGGTGTGCATCAAGCGCGCATCGAATGGAAAAGGCGAGCCAGCTCGAGATAATAGAAAAGAACTTTGTTACCGGCCCAATTAGCAGTATATTCTCTGGATTGATGAAACCTCTCTTCGTGAACCTTAAGGTGTTCCTATTTCGAGCAGAAGGTGATTGTGATGGAGACACCTTTAATATTACAGTCAGAATAGGAACAAGTAACCTGTGAGAGGCTGAGACTTCATTCACTGAGCCATCTTCACATCATGCTCAGAACCCGAGTCAGGATCACCCACCAACCCATCTTAAAAGGCATTTGGAAGGCTTTTGGAATACGGCGGTCCAGCATCAGTTTACGCGATGACAACAACAGACGCCTCGTTCCGATGCGATGGATGGTAAATACAGAGTCATCTTCCTCTACAAAAACTAGGCGGTCGAGCAGTCCAAATTGAAGGTTACTGCTCTAGATATTTTGACAAAAATGTGAGGGCACGCCTGGTTTTCTTTCGACTGCTACGTCGGATACCTACTAATTTACAAAGAAAGCTGTATTCTAAAATCGGGATATTGAATCTACAAACGCACTTCTATCTTATCTGTTTATCGTGCGTTGCAGAGCATCCCAGCCTAATTCTGTCTGTGTAGCTCGAGTCAGGGATGGTTTGCGTCCTAAACAGCTCTGCGCACGTGTGATTCGAGATGGACCATCTTAGGCGATTAATCTTATATAACAGCGTACAGCCTTTTCATCACCACTTCTGAAGTTCTGACATGACGTTTGACTGCAAAGTTGCATGGCGAATGCGTGTAAGACGGTCAGGGAAGGGAAATTCCAACCTTAAAGTTAGCCCAGCTCTGGGAACGTTCGCCGATTTGGAAGTATTGTATGACTCGGAATTAGGAATTAATGGAATTTTGCCATTGTTCACCAATCTGAAATATTACAAGGAATAAAGCTGCTTCGGGATGATATGTATCACCCATTACGTTGATATGAATTGTCTCTCATTTAATTTGAGCGCAAGTTAGAGCTCTTCATATACACGAGTCAAGACAAAGGCGTCTGAAGTTGCGAATGAGTGGATTTACAGCAATTCAATTTGTTCAAAGTAATAAAATTCCCGTTACAATGTATTCCCATGTCAAGTAATCCCCAGTTTCCGAAAACAGCGCTCATGGATCAATGAGGCAAAGAAACGAGTGAAATTGAATATGGTTTTAAATTGTAGTCTTATCAAAGTACTTAGGTATGTGGGTTTCGCGTTTTTCGTTACGCCATGGAGTCCCAAGTACATATCGTTAGCCACGCTGACAACGAAAACGCCGCCTACCCTGCTTTCGCGGCGGCCGCGAAACGCCTTGGAAAGGCTTACTCTTGGGTTTTACCTGGACATTATTGGGAAATTCCTCGGATTTTGGAGCCTTGGATATTAATCATATAGAAAGAATTGGAACGTGTTTAGAGGCTGGTCTGAAATTTATGTAAAACACTACACTAAATACTAGTCCGGATCTTCATCAAGACTTTGAACGGCTGGGCGCATAAAGGTCAACTGGCCAGCCTAGCGCCAGCACCATGGAAATAGTTGCCAATGACAGGGTCCATGTTCTTTCTTCGTATCAACTTTCAGCCTAAAAAGTCCCTCACACCTTCTCATCTCATGATACTTCCACACTGTGCATTCTGGGATGGTCTGAAGTGTGTTAGCACGCCCTCTCGGCATGAGAGCCTTTTCTGGTAGCTTCTTAGACAGCGAGGCTGTGCGTGCCATTTTCTATTGTCCCCATCTCTTCAAAAACGGCCCGATAAAGCCGCTCGTAGACCCCATGCGCTTCGTGCGCGTCTTGAGAGCTTTGAAGATACCCTTTTCGAACATCAACGTTCAACGTGCGCTCGTCACCTGCGTCTGCGAGGGTTGGACGAGAGCCCAGAGTTGGGAGGTGTAGCACAAAGAACGCAAGGGGCCTTACTTTATCTGGCAACGTCGATGCCTAAAACGGAATCGGCAGAGATGCCTGACAGCGGCTCGCCGGATTGTCCAGGATGGGGACATGTATTTATAGGCCAGCAACTTCGCACTGCGGGCACCAGCTGATATTCCGTGTCACACCGTACAAAAATCATACCCGTACACGCTGTATTTATTATTAAGTATGCTCCTGAGCAAGTGCTGAGGAATCCAGCGGAATTTTCTAAAGGCGGACTTGGAGCACTGCATTCCGGGTGTTCCGATACCGTACTGTACGTATACTGTACGCTATGTGTCCTCTATTTACTATTATAGGCGGACTGCTATGTTCCTACTTACATGTGTGAGGGGCCCGGAGTTCAGAGAGTGCAAACAGCGACGATGACAGTAACGCGATTAGATGGAATGTTCCTGAGCATAAAAATATGGATACTTCATGAATGCTGTGTGGGGTAAAAGAATGAAGAACAAGGGAAGAGGAGAAGTAGGTCACGAGAACAGAATCACCGAAACTCTCTAAAACATAGGAGCGAGCATAGCGTAGGATATATCTAGGACAATAAGTAACCAATCACGTCGACTTTCCTCTCTAGGTAGGTTGGCCTCTTTTATTCTTTTCTTTTTCGGCTTCACCAAATCCTCCGAGCTAGCCAGTAGAAGCTCGTCTCATACTGACTGACGTTCAAGCCGCCAACGGCACAGAACCGTTGGCAGTTACATTCCCATGACCAGCTTCGTCATGCTCCTTGACCAGCAGCTCCGCCTGGCCCTCCTTTCCAGCCCCCTCGTTGTCGATCTTGCTCATCTCCTTGATAAAGCTGCTTCCCCAGAATGCCGCGCTATATTTGTTCACATACTTGAACAGCTTGCGGTGGTTCTCTGCCCGCACCGCAGCATCCATCGTCACCGCCTCGTGGATCGCATCGGCCACCTGCTGCGAGTCCCAGGGGTTGACGACGATAGATCCATTCAGACTCTGGGCGGCCCGGCGAATTCGGAAAGAATCATGACGCCCTGGCGGGCTTGTTGACACGCGATGTATTCGTACGACACCTGGATATTTAATAAGGGTGTGAGAGAGGCTAACGATATGGAAAGACGACGTACGAGATTCATTCCGTCTCGCGTACTTGAAACGAGACAAACATCACTAACGGCGTAAAGTGCGCACAGCTCGTCGAAAGGCAGACTCTTGTGCATGAAATGGATGGGCATAAACTCCACCGTGCCGAAACGTCCATTGATACGTCCGACCAGTTCGTTTACCGTGGCCCTCAGGTTCTGGTATTCCTCGACGTCTTGCCGTGATGGAACGGCTAACTGAACGAGCACCACCTGGACACAACAAGATAGATTAAGTGATTTATGCATTCCAAAGCTTCTGTGAAACAACCTTTCCGATCCATTCAGGTGTTGTGTGAGGAAGAGCTCTAGAGCGTGCAGCTTCTGAGGAACACCTTTGATATAGTCGAGACGATCGACTCCAACGATGACTTTCACACCCCCGAAACGCTGCTCAAGCTGCGCTATGCGGTTGATGACTGACGGCTTTTTCAGGTTCTACAAAGAATAAAGTCAATGAAAAGACAATTCCGCATGGAGAAATATACACGCACGTCGATAAAACTGCTCGGCTCAATTCCAATGGGGAAAGTTCCCACATGAGCGAGCCTGCCCTCGAATTCGACACCGTTGGGCATCGTAGGCAAGTTCAGGATACGCGTACATGACGAAAGGAAGTGGCGAGCATAGTCATAAGTGTGGAACCCAATAAGGTCGCAATACAGGACGCCGAGCAGGATTTCTCGCCGCACAGGCAGAATTCTGCACCGAGTCAGCTATTTTCCGACCACATCAGAAGACGACATCATACCTGTAGATTTCACTACTTGGGAACGGTGTGTGCAGGAAGAAGCCAATCTTGACTCCAGGGGTGGGAGGTTGTGTCGTCGAGAAAGCAGTGACGTCAATGCCTTCTGTGATCTTGGTCAATTCGTCACTCGTGAAGGTGCCAACGTTTTTGCGACCGTCGATGATGCCTCGGAGTAACATGGGAAGGAGCATTAGGTGGTAATCCTGAACCCAAACCATGGCTCCGGGGGAGATCTGTTGGCGGACGGCCTCGGCGAACTGCATATTGGCCTGACGGTAGGCAAGCCAGTTCTCCTCGTCAAAGTTCATCTCGCCAGGATGGTAGTGGAATAGCGGCCAGAGGATGGAGTTTGAGAAACCGTTGTAATGTCGGTCAGCTACGTCATCGTCGAGATAGACGGCCTGGCACGAATACTCCTCCATGAGACGCTTGTCCACAAG